AAGCACAGTACGTACAAATCAGCTGCCAAAGTCACCGCCGCGAATCGCCGAGGGGGCCGATTAAGCTCCCTTGCGCTCAATCGACCTTGAGCCGCCACGCAGGATGCGACGCGGGAGTCGAATACGTGAAAAAAACAGTTCTCCATGCCAGTCCGGGTTGGCCACGCGCGCCCAGACGTAGGTCAGGAATGCAACGAATTCGAGGACGTTGATGTGTTGGGCGTGCCTCCAGGCATACCTCTGTACCACTTCCCGTTTCCGAATCGGAGCTGGGTATGGGTATGGCACCTGCTGCCGGGACCCTTCGACGAGAGCCTGGGTCAGCAGACGCATGTCCTAGCCGCGACAGTCGGCTTGTGCGAGTAAGCTCTGGAGGCGGTCCCGTTCCTGGCCTTGCCCTACCTTAGCCAACATCCGCTCTAACGCCAAAATGGTTTCTGAATGTGCCAACCCCGCTCGCAGCCGGCGTGCGGTGGCGGCCAGGCTGCGGGCGACCCACGACGCCCGCTCGCTTGGCCGAGGCGGAAGCGCAACCAAGCCGATTTCCCCGATCGCCTCCAGAACAGCACCAGCGTACACCCTGCACAAGTCGTTGGGGTAGACCTCCAGCGGGCAGGCTGCCCACTCTCCGCGCGCGGGCATGCATCTGCCGCATGAGGAGCACGGGCGGGATTCTGCAGGCTGGTCGAGGATTGGCTCCTCCGCTGGCGCCGCGGACAACGCCTCCCGGCGCTCCGCCTGCTCCGACGCCAGGGGGCAGACAAAGGTGGTAGCTTCAGCGGCGCCGCCGCCGCTCTCCGAGGCGTCGGACGTGCTCGCGACCCTCGATAGGCCAGCGGGGCGAGGGCTTCGCCTAGCAGCACCTCGTCAGTGACGCTAGCAGGCGGGATCAGCCTGAGTAGCCCCGAAGCTGGCGATGGAAGGGAACATGTCTTGCAGTACTGAAAAGAGCGGCCTGCGGAAGCCTGCGGCGAAGCAGAAAAGCCCCGACCAGTGTTGGGCCTCGCCGGCAGACCACGAGGGCTCCCCCAAAAGGACGAGCGACGTCATGCACAACTTCAGCGAGTTGTCCCTGCTGTGCAAGAAACGCCCGCGCAGGCCGTCGATCTCCCCGCCAAGGACGCCAGCCCTCAGTCCACGGACGAGCGACTTGCCAGCATTGAGGGGGACCCCCTGTGCCGCGCAGACCGCGACGAAGCGATCCATGGCTTCCGAACGGCCTTCTCCTGCAGGGTCCTCTGCCAGACCGTCCAATAGGATCTTCACTTTCGAAAGGTGGTCGTAGCCGTCCATGCACACAATGGCAATGTCCTCCGAGGGCACTGCCTTGTCCTTCCGCAACTCGCAAATCGGTGAAACCGCAGCGGTGTGGAAGACTAGTTTCCGCGCCATGTATTGCATGACGTCGACGGCGCCGACCCAGCCCATCGGCACCGCCCGCATCCCCACGTAAGTCATGACATTGGGGTCACCGCCGAAAGCGCTCAACGGCACTTGCTTCTCGAACGCAAACATGCCAAGCCACTCGCTCGGCATGTAAAACAACTTGAAACACGACTCCATGTCTTCAGAATCGACCCAAAAAGCTTCATCCTCCTCTAGTACCGTCAGCCCTAGCTGGCCGATGTAGGGAAGAAGGCCACTGTCCCCCTGGAGCCGCCGGAGGAACGCGTTGATGGGTACGAAAATGCATATGAAGCGCAGCAGCTCGATCCTCACGCCGTTTACGTACTTGACCTTGTCCACCCCCATCGCCCCGTTCAGCACCATCTCGCCGCGGGCGTCGCGGAAAACGTCGTCCGCGCCTACTGGCGCAAACAGTCCGCGAGCGCTGCCCGCGCCGACAAGACTGAGCCATTCATCGCCCGCCGCGTGGACCCGCGAGCGCGGAGCGACCGCGGACCACTCAGACTGGGGCAGGAGGCATCGCTTCGGGCCGACGAGGCCTCCGAGACGCAGTCTACGATCGGCGGGATGCACGCCTTGCGGCCGGCCACGCAGGCAAAAGCCCTGCTGCAGATCCGCCCCCGCCGCCTCGGAACGACCTCGCCGGCGTGCCCAGCCCTCCTCGTTGCGCAGTCCTTCGCGGACCTCTGGTCGGGGGCGGAAAAGAGGGGGGTGATGACTAGGGGGGGGTGGATATCATGGCGGGGGCCGCGCACATGCCGCCGGTCATGATTTGCACCCCCCCCTCTTGGACACCCCCCTCTTGGCCGCTCCCGATCTGGCGCACTGAATGGCAAGGCTGGGGCCGCCCAGAGATCCGCCGCCGCCTCCCAGACGCGAGAGAGGGTGCGGCGGTGCGCACCGCTCAGACTAGCGGCCACATGCCGGGGCTGGCGCCCATCCGGCGCACGCGAGGAAGTTCAAGGCGTGCAACGCGGCTCTGGCAAGCAAGAGGGTCCCGCTGGCGGCACAGTCTCCCGTGCTCTGGGCCCTCGCGGGGCCGTCTCTCCAGAACGTCTCGGCAAGGTCCAAGTTGATTGGCAGAAGCTCTAGC